TATCATCGTAAATCTAAATTATAATAGGACTATCAATACCGTTATGAAAGTATGTTTTAATGATGATCTGAATTCCTCCAAAAAATAAATGTTTATATTTTTCAGAATTTTTAATTCTTTCTAAATTTTGTCGTTTTATTTGTTGATTATAAAGAGGTATTCGAGTACTTCCTACTGCGTTTAAAATATCAATGGGATGTTCTCCATGACGAATACTGCAATATATACTTATTTTCCAAAGAAAAATAAGCATATCAAATAGTCTTTAGTTCCAAGGGATAATTTTCATTTTCTTATGTTATTATAAGTTTCTTCTGATAATATAATATGTATTTCAAATTCAATAGAATTGTCATTAATTATATCTGATTCAAGATTCTCATTCATTAATTAGAATACAAATACTCTTCTATTTCATTATCTGAATAATTTAGATTCATTAGATGGTTTTCAGTATCTGATAGTTCATAAAAGTCTTCTTCATTGTTTATGTCAGAAAAATCAAAAATGAATTCTAACTCAATTTCATCTATAATTGCTACTGATTTTACATGACTTCTTTTAGATTTATGAGAGCATTTATTTGCATAATGTCCTTGTTTACAAATCCAGCATTTACTAATTCTAACGTTTTTAGTAATATTGTTGGTCTTTTTATCTTTTTTTTTCTGAAGGTTCGTTTGTTAGGATTAAATTTATTTATTTATTTTCTTAAAAAAATTTTCCTTTTTCCTTTTTGCAGAGCAATGACAAGTGTTATGAGAAGATGGGCATCCACATTGCTCAGCAATTGAATCTGATTTCTCGCAACATAGAGATTGCTTATATTGTTTATTTTGTTTATGTAAATCAAGATACTGGCAATCTTCAGCTACTTTTTCTTAAACATATTGTATACGATTACCTAAAGTAATGTCATTTGGATGTAGCTTTGTACATTTTTTACTGCATAAAACATCATATGGTTCTGATAGTTTATAAAAATACATATCTAAATGTAATAGTCTATCATCAACTAAGATGTCATAAAAGAATTTTTGATAATCACAATTATATTCATGTAAGTAACAAATATTTAATGTTATCTTTGGTTTAGCAATATCTATTTTTCTGTTTTGACATTATATTTAAATTTATATCCTAAGAATTCACTTTTTAGAAAATCAGTATAAATATTTGGTCATTTGCAAGTGTACTGATAGTTTTTTTTACCTAAACAAGTATCTCTAATACTTTGTTTTTTATTATCTTTTAATCCAAGAAGTCGTTTTACTTTGCAATTCCAGTAAGTGTAATTTCGAAAAATTCATAGGCATTTTCGCCTCGTAAGTTATAATTATATATAGCTAACATATTTTTTATTACCCATTTGTATATTACTTCATTAATATTTTTGCAACAATCAATATTTAAAGAGATATCGTGTCCAATAATAGGTTCATATATATTATTTTGGATTTTTGAGCCTAACTGATTTGGTCTAGATCTGGGAATACTTTTAATACTTGGAGGTAGGAAACGTGTAAGAACTAGTACTTTGACTCGTATTATCTTCAATAGAATAGCATTGAGTATGTCTTCATATAGATTGACTGTTGAAAGGAGTATTAACTATAGATTAATTAATATGATTATTAATGAATTGATGTTCGGTTAAAGCATTAATCATATCTTTTATTTCATTATCAGTTTCGAAAGATTCTTCAATCGAAATGATTTTATTAATTTGAACAGCTCCTTGTATATTTCCTTGAGAATTTTTTATATCAAGCAAAGTTTCAAATATAAGGTTCCACCACAACCTATGTTGTCAGCTATCATCGTCCTTTGTCTCCATGAAATCTATCAGACTTTGATGCATGCTTTCAGGATTTTTGGATCTAATATAAAATCTTTGTGGACCAATTGATGATACAGAAATCTCGTGAATAGACTGTGGTTCAACCCTGTGACAGATCATAATGGCGAGGAGTGTTGGAGTAAAAGGCAAATATGGACGCATTACAACTAGGGATAATTTTGGGAAAAATAAAAAAAAGGATCTACAATCAAGAGAAGATGTGGTCGTCAGAGCATGCTAGGGGCCAACAGTAGGAAAAAGAATAAAAACCTGATTTGTAACGATAATCAAAAGGAGGTAGCGATAAAGATCTCTTAAAATTGGAGATGACATCCTGAGAGAATGATATTAGGTTGAGATATTAAGATCGGCAAAGAATCTTTTTCTTGTGAGAAGTGTCATCTAATAAAGGGAAAAGGGGGAGAGAATATTAAAAAAATTAATTACAATCAAAAAATAATAAAAATTACACACCATCACTCCCTATTTATAAAAAAAAGGTTATAATCAAAATGAAAAACTAATCCTATCCAAATTAAGTCTAACACTAACAACTAAATGAATAATTTAACATTATTTAAACCAAAATATATACAAAGTTTCAAAAATGAAATAAAAGACAATTTCAATTTCATGAACATGTTTGGTTTATTCGAGACTTGGATCTAACACCAATTACTGATTTGAACCCAAGTGTCATATCACCACACTCAATTATCATCAAGGACTTACAAAAAGCCTCAAATATAGATATATATATATATATATATATAACTTTGGCAGATACATATCAGACTGGCAGCTCTCAAAACTCTCAAAGGAAGTCACCCACCCAACTTAACAGGGGGAGAACTAGATCTAGATCTCAGCCCTCCTTGCACCCACCTTCTCAACATGATTAATTTTCTTTGTTGGAATGTCAAGGGCATTGCTTACCCCTCTTCCATGAAAAGAAATTTACATCTCAATAAAAAAACACAAACTCTGGTGTATTGCTATTTTAGAACCACTGCTTCATAAAAATCCACAGCAAATCTTCTCTAGGTTTGTTGGTTGTTCACATTTTGCTATCATAAATAATAAAATATGGATCTTTTGTAGGAAGGAGATCATTTGGGATATTCAGCCTGATCATCCTCAGTATGTCCACCTCTCCTTTAAAACCTGTAGACACAATGGATTTGCCACCTTTGCCTATGCTGGTTGTACCAAAGCTGATAGAAGGGAACTTTGGTCTTCTTTGCAAACTATCAGTAACACTATGGCTTCTTATTGGCTTGTGGGAGGAGACTTTAATTGCATTGCTACCTCTGCTGAAAAGTCTGGTGGAATACCCCCTAATTTAGCCAAAATGAATCTATTCTCTGACAACATCCTTCAGGCTGGAATATTTGATATTGGTTTCAAGGGGCCAGAGTTTACTTGGACCAGATTCACTAGTTCCAAACTGCCAATCAAGTACCTTGGAGTTCAGCCGATCAAAAGGAGATTCGATCAAAGGGAGATTTAAGCAAACTCAATTTGAGGATGTGCTGGCGATCAAAAGGAGATTTAAGCAAACTCAATTTGAGGATGTGCTGGGGGAAATCTCTGCCACTTTTTCTAGTTGGACACACTCATTTCTTTCTAATGGGGGTAGAATAACTTTGTTGAAGAGTACTCTAACCACTTTTTCCTCCTACATTCTCCAAATGACTACTATGAAGAAAAGCACTCAATTATAAATGGACAGGGCTTTCAACAGATTTCTTTGGGTTGGTCAGAGGCAGCAACTTCACTGGGCTAGCTGGCAAAAGTTAGCTAAACTCAAATTGGCTGTATAGGTTTTAAAGGCCTGCAGCACCTACTTCAAGTTAACCTTTGCAAGATTTGGATCAAATTTAGAGAGCAACACTCCCTTTGGGTAAAATTTATGATGAGTAAGTATTGTAAAGAGAGTCATCCTAGCATTGTGAAAAGGAAAATTGGGGATTCTAGGCTATGGGTCAATATGCTTAAAGTCAGGAAACAAGCTGAAGATTTATTTCTATGGGATATTGGCAATGGTAAGATTAATTTCTGGTTGGATTCTTGGTGTCCTAAAGAGATGCTGCAACCTAACTCTGATCATATTAATACCCATTTACAAGTGGTTGACTGTTGGGAGGGGAATTCCCGGTCACTGCCTTATACTCCAAACTATTCTTTAGGGACAGTCTGCTATACAGATTAGCAGAATTCAGTTTGATAGATCTAGATCTGACAGACTGGTCTAACAGGGTTGTGTGCATCAAAGCCTAACTAAATCAATTCATCTTAAACTCAACACCTGGGAAAATAAGCCTTGGGGAGATTTAATTTGGCAGAAAAGTTTGTCCCCATCTATGTCTTTTTTCAACTGGAGAATGCTTCATGCGTTGCTCCCTACTGATCACATACTTAAGCTTAAAGGACTAAGAGGCCCTTCTCAATGTTATTTATGTGGAAAGGAGGAATCTATCCCTCATCTATTCTTCAAATGCAGATTTACTCAAGAGGTATGGGCTAACTACTCTAATCATCTCACCCTGAACACTATTCACTTGGAATGGTCTAATATTTTATCCTGCTGGAAGAGTTGGAAGTCTGCTAAGATTGGAACTATTCCTTTCATGGTGGTCTGGTTCCTTTGGATGGCTAGGAACAAGGCCAAATTTGATGCTCATCCTATCACTATGCCTCAAGTGACTAGAAACTGCATCTCCTAACTTCATAAATTAATACTCCACCAGAAATTCCCTTGCATCTGCTCTCCTCCTCCACTTGAATTAGCTACTCAAGGCAATCATGTACACCATTGCATATAATGTCAACTAAATGCCTCCACATTTAACGACCAAGCAAATCATAACCTAAATTTCTTTGAGCAATCTCTATTAGTAAGGGAGTGATCCACAATCAAAATAATCCTTAAACTAGGCTCCAATCGACATAATGACTCTTTAATTAGCAATTTTACATTTTAATGAGATTTCTTGCTAGGACCATTAGTGTTAATCCCTTAGATCCATTTCCTATAGTAGAGTGAAGACAAACACTTTAAAATTCAAATTTAAGCATATTTTAAATTTATTACAGAAAGCATTCATTGCACATTACAAAAATAAAAATAAAAAATAAATAAATAATCTTCCAAACTTACATAATCATTGCATGCAAAAATGCCATCTAAGTCTGCTTGCATGAATAAATTGAATAACTTGTCTAGGACGGCAGAAGATGTAGCCTTGTATGATCAAAAAAATTTTTCATAAGTTACAAGAAATGATTATGAGCACAACAACCCAAATGCAAGTCATGAACAACAGAACGTAGAACCTACCACTTACCCAACCTCGTGCTGAAAAAAATAACATCGAAGAATTAATTTTTGAAATCATAGTAATATTAAAGTTACAAATATAATAAAAATGTTAATTAAACCAACAAAACGGTTAAAATAGAAGCCCCAATCTATCATGGAGTTCATGAGCACGATAGTTGTATATTGGCTTACCCAAAAGGATATGATGAACTATTATAAAAAGAATTTTATAGCGAAGCTCGAGTCCTTTTGTAGTTATAGTATTATAAACACCCAGAAAATGAGCATAAATAATAAAGCATTAAATAAGATTAATATCTCGTATGAATTTTCAATCATAGATTGGATTACAGGCTTTACCTTGTTACTGACTCAAATTATTTATTCAATTAGCTCTAAAAGTGGATACATCATTATAAGATTAAACAAGGTTGAATACAAGATGGCATTCAAAGTCACATATGGCATTAATGAACGGCTTGTTATACAGTTTGGTTTATCTAATGTACCCTGCGCATTCAAGAGATTGACGAATATAATTCTCAAACCTTTTAATTGTAATTTCTTTGAATTATATGTTGATAGCATTATAATCTTTAATCCTAATATGAAAGACATTTATATTACTTAAAATAGATTTAACGACATTTACTTAAAATAGTTTAACTACTTCAGTCAAATTGAAATCATTTTCTTTAATTTTATGGTGTTTGCATGTGGGCTAAAGGTAAATCCTACCAAAACCAAAGCCATCTTAAACTGGGCAAAACCAAGAATTTCACAGATGTCAAGACCTTTCATTGCTAGACTATCTTCTACATAATGTTTATTAAAAATTTCAGCATTAATGCAGCCCCAATCATAGATCTCCTAAAGATAGTAAGTTTAAATGGATTATATTTACTTGAAAAGTCATGGAACAGATAAAAATTCTTATGACCATCTCCTTCACAATCTTATATTTAAATGAAATAATTGAGGTTATATCTATTGCTTTAGTAGTAGGTTTAGAAGACGTACACAATCTAGAAAATCATCAAGTAGCTTCCTATGGTAGCAACTTGAATGATAAGACAGTTTTATACAACCATTATGCCTACTGGAAGCAATTCTCTAACATGAACAAGTACTCTTATCCCTTGGTTCTACCCATACCACCATTTACTAAAAGCTTGAACATCAATTTAGTGCTCTCAATTTTGGGGAACCCTCTTTTGCATTAACAATTAATATCACTTCTCCCTAAGCTCAATTAATCTGCCATTTAAAGGTCTAACGACAGGCTGCACCACACACAACAAAGCTTCTAATGCAAAATAATGGCAAATATATTTTTTATAATAATTAGGGAAATTATTAATTCTGCCAGATGAATATGCAGAATTTCCTGCCACTTAATAGGCCAACATCTAATACGCTGATTTTGTATGTTTACCTTAAAAATTCCTCATATAGCACAAAGCTTTCTTCAATTTGTCATCTGCCATAAATAAACTGATTGTGAATTCGTTCTACTCGAAATAAAGCAATGTCACGTTTAGCAAATAATTAAACCGCACTGCATAGCGTAGCTAATTCAACAGTACACAAAGGGTTAAAAAAAAAAGTGACTGCAGCAGTACTTCTCCTATGTAAAAATGAAATGCTATCCTTTAGTGAGCTATTAAGGACATTGATAAAAAGAAAAAGTAAGAACATAAGAAGTCAACTTACGCCCATTCCAGTTTCCCCCTATTCACAAAATATCCATTGTGCTTTGTTGATAGTTTGTCAACTTGAAAGTATTCATCCTGCACAGAAATTACAAAAATAGAAAACCAACAGAAATTCAAACAAATTTAATAAAATAAGCAAATCCTTAAATCTGCAACATATGCATTTTTCAGAAAACTAATGTGCTCCTAAATGGAATTCATCAAAATTACTGATCAAATAGTATAAGTAAACATGAAATTCACACATTTTAAAATTGTGAAATGGCTGCATTATCATAGTAAAGGCACTTTTATGGCCTAATGCATCTTACTATAAAAACATTTCCACCGTAATAGTTTATTAGAACAAAATAATAAAATATAAAGATAAAGAGACAACATTTAAGAACAAAAGATTTTGAATCCTCATGCAGGTTCTTAAAATAAGCAAATTCAGATTTTGATTTGAACCTTATATTAGTGTAGCATTTGAAGTACTACCAATTTTTTGGGAAATGAAATTGTAACATGCAATTTCACTTATATAATATGTTACCCTAGTGTCTCGCAACATAACTTAACTGGTATGCTTCTAATAAAAAAATAGAAACCTAAATAGGTCCTCATTCTATGGACACGATACAATTCTCAGAAGATTTTCACTGTAATAGTGTTTAGTCATGTGGATCAGTTGAGCTCTACCGTCAATCATCTCCTAGGTTTCTAAACATTTATCTGTAGTCTTCTTCAACTCAAATTTCACGTAAGAGATAAACTAGAATTTAAATATTTTGCAGAAAATTAGAATTCTGCTTTTAAATGGAAGCTAAAACCTTTAAGAAAATGTTTTAAGCCATCAATTTTTTTTTAGTACATAGCCATGGCTCTGATTTATGAGCAAAAGCAAGATTGAGCAATCATTTTTGTAACTAAGGATTCATATACTCTGCTCTATCAGAATTTCTTAGCATTAAGTTCAAAAATTATTCTTTTGACATCTTCAATGAAAAACTAGGCATGCGTGATAAAAGGATTTAGAAATAGAATACTAGCTTCTCGAAAAAAAAAAATTTATTTTTATTTGAATTCTATCTTCAATGATTGTATGTAACCTTCGGTGCGTTAGCATTTTTTAGTCCTTATATTATAAAAAGGAGATGCAATTTTGTGTATACAATATGGAACCCAAAATATCCTGACAGATTGGTCTCCAACACAGCCACAATGGCATAAATGCAAAAATCCAGATAGCTCCACAATCTTTTAATAGAACATGACTCTTTCAAGAAAGCCACCACACAATCTGATCATGCCATGCAGATCTGCTTCAGACTCCAGTAGAGCACGTTAGAGGAATTAAGGCTGCCTGAAGAACAAAATGTAAATAGTTTGCAAAAAGCCTGAAGTACACGCTGCAGAGGATGCTCAACTTTCTTTTTACACTGTTTTGATCGACCAAGCATTTTTAAGGTGTTTATGGTTTCAACTTCTGAGTATTCATGTCTTTGTGCTTCTCATCTGTAAGCTTCAAATACTCTTTTTTAACATGGTTTCTTATTTTTTCTATCCATTACTCGGTAGCAGTAATCAATTTATCAGATTAGATCAAAAGTTATGAAATAGAAAGTCTGCTTCTGAAATTAACAATATTTTGAATTCGATCTACATATCAGCCACTACCACGCATCCTTGCTGTGATATTGGCAGTATTATCATTGTTTATTTCTAAATAAAAGAAGATGAGCATTTTCCTGTAAACACTAGGGTTACCTTAGTGCATCCTGGAATAATAGAACTTCGTCCCTAAAACAAGGGAACGAGTTTTTATTTTTATTTTATTTTTCCCATTATTCAGTAGCAGTAATCAACTTACTATTGTAGATCAAAAATTATGAAATAGAATGCTAGCTTCTAAAATTAAGAATATGACAAACTTTAATGCATATCATCAACTTGAATGTATTCTTGCTGTAAAGTTTGCAGCAATGGCAATAGTTTTGAAAAACCAAAGGGGATGCACATGTTACGCCAGTGCCTTGCCTAAGGGCAATTGTCTTTTGTGCGCCTAAGAACAATTTAGTCTTTTGTCATTTATTATTGCTTAGCATAAAAAGGGCTAATATGTTTAGGATTAGGATTATGCATGAGATTGGGTTATGAGTTTAGAGTTAGGGCTTGGGAGAAATTTCTACCTCTCGAGTCGTAGAAATTGGGAGAGATCGCCTACCTCTCGACTTGCAGGTGATTACCTTGGTATTAGTCTAGAGTGTTTGATATTATTGCAATAAAATTTTATTTGCCCGAATTTTTGTGTGGAAAATTGATTCAGTTTTTATCAAATTAGTATCAGCGCAAGATTTATGGAAATCAACAGGAGAAATTGCCAACGTCATCTCGACATAGTACAGAACGCGGTATCTTGAGCTTGAGGGGAAGGCAAACGACAAGATCGCGGTTTACAGATACCCAAAAATGAAAAAATTCCTTGTGAAGAAGGAAACGGAGGGATCGCAGCTTATAGAGACCTAAAATTTCCTCCTTTCTTTGCACAGAAGACAACAATGGGATCGCGGCTTACAGAAAATCAAAACTTTCTTCGGATTGCAGCTTATAGAGAACCGAAACTTTTTTTGGATCACCGTACAAAGAACTGAAACTTCCTTCATTCCTCTCCTGCCGCTCTGTCCCCTCGAGAGTCACGATTTGAGCTAGTAAAAAGGGACCCTTACATCCAAATTCCCAGGCATCAAAGGGATCGCGGCTTATAGAGTCCACAATTTCCATAGTTCGATGCTGCTAACAGAAATCCGCTTTGAACCTAAAAACAGAAATTTTGGGATTGCGGTGTCTAGAGTGTCGCATGGCGTGCAAAAGTAACGAGCCAACCCGCATATAGGAATTCTGAATCAAGTTTAGGAGTTTCGCGCGACGTCTACGTTGAACACCAGTAAAAGGATTCTGGAATCTCAACATCTAGAGTTCTGCGCGACCTGCAAGAGCTACGTGTTGAATCTCATGTGGTGTTCCACTCAATCAAGATAGTTGAGTAAAAAATTGGATTGAATGGAAACCAAAAAGGTGGATGCTTTGGAAGAAAAACTTAAGGAAGAAGGGAAAACAATATGGGCTAAGGAGGTGAACCCCATCCCCACATCATGGGCGAAATGAATTAAGCGTGAGGGAATTGGGGAGGAGACTCGTGCATAAGGAAGCTAGAGATTCAATTTTTGACGTAAAGGATGCTTATGGTTGGATCTATCACATGAATAGATATTTTTTTGCTAATGAGTTGACAGAGGAAGAAAAATTGATGATAGTTGCCCTGTGAGTGGAAGAAAGGGCTCTAGCATGATATCAATGAAGAAAGCGTCAACAAATCAGAAATTGGGAAGAATTAACGGATCGATTGTTGGAGCATTTCATAAACACTCTAAAAGGGGATTTATACGAGCAATTTTTTACATTGGCCCGGGAAGGGTCTGTTATGGAGTACACGGAGAAATTTGAGATGCTATCAAGTCGTTTGAGTGGGATATCTGAGTAAGTGTTGAAAAGCAATTTGATGAAAAGATTAAAACCATGGCACTTCAGCCATTGAGACCACGGGGTTAGCAAAACTCTAGAATTAATGTACTTGATTGAAGACCACAATGCAATGGAAAGGGGAGCAACATACTGAACTATTGCAACCACGATGATACCTAAAGCTCAAAGTTAAAGTTTATATGGAAGCTTCACAGGACCAGAATCATGGGTCACGACCGAGAGCGACGCTCAAGCGCCTTATAGAAATAGAGATTCAGAAGAAGGGAGTCAATGGTTTATTTTCAGTGTGATGGGAAGTTTATCCCAAGACACCATTGCAAGGATCAAACATTACAGTTTCTCACATTGCGTGATGAGAAGGCAGGAACTGAATAAAAAGAAAATACTGATGTGATAAATGAGGAACACACTTACTTTTTCCCAACTTGAGAACAATGTGTCTCTTGGGAGGGGAGTATTGTACGTCAACGCCTAGCCTAAGCGTAATTTTATTTTTTGTGCGTCTAAGGGCAATCTAGTCTTTTATCATTTATTTTTGAGATTTCCTCACTCTCGAATTGTAGGTGTTCATCATTGTATTCGTCTTTAGTATTTCACGCTCTTGCAATAAAATATTGTTTGCCCTAGATTTTGTGTGCATGATCGATTTGGTTCCTATCAACACACTTCATCATAAACAATAAGGTGTCCTAGTGCATCCTGGAAAATTACCACCTTTACCTGAAACAAGCAAGGGGACCTATATGAAGTATCTATGTTTAAGAGTTTGCTCCAGCACATTTCACGTGCAAGATCAAAAATGGAGACCTGTGGCAATAAAATGATTTGCAACTTCTCTATAAAAGATAGACTTGTAACACAGTGGATCGTCACACCGAATCAATAGTAAGCAATATCCTGCATTATTAAGGAAATGTTTATTACTAATATCGAGTATATTGTCATCACCAGTTTCCACCTCAAACATTTTGGAGCATTTTATGCCAAACAAATTCATTTATCCTTCCCACAGATTCAACTCCAATGTTTTTGGCATTCAGATCTTGAAATGATATTATCACTGTTACTATAAAAAAGTATAGATGTGCCTATTCAATGATATGAAACCTTTCCATAGGGAGCAGAAAAGTAAGAGTCTATTTTCACACTCCATGCACTAAGACATATCCTATCATAGACGTTCTCAGGAGACGTTTATTTCCACTGTAATGCAATTTACATCCACCAGTTGCCATCGCAGACAAAATAAAAAATTTCCAGCACAAATAACCAATTTCTCCTTCCAAAAGATGCAATTAAATAACTATGGCCTTGAAAAACTAAAAAAAAGGAGATACTAATACTCGAAAGAAATAAAATTACATTCATCTAAACATGACTGTTCCTGCATTAGCTGTGCATTTATCAAAATAAACTGTGTTTTGATATCAATAAACTAAAGAAGTTGGGACTTGTTCGTAACTTAGAATATGATAATGATTTTGTGCATTCTCTAAAAAAAGACAATTAAGCTCGTCCCCTTATTCAAACACTCCACCCTACCGTAGCATAAGGTCAACAACCAAGTTCAAATCATAGATTCGACAAGTATTCAATCTACACTGCATTTAGATTATACAGCCAATAATTTGTATTACCTTCTTTCTTAAAATAGGCAACTTATCTTCTTCATTAATTCTTGATAGGATCAATACATTTTTGGACTTATCAAATTAAATTTTTGAATTAGTTTAAATGTACAATATTTCAATAAATATGAACATAAAAGCAAGTATTTTTATCATCTCATAAATTAAATTAAAAAAATATTCCTGAAATCCCTCCTATTCTTTGTTCTACATCGCTCTTTCCCACAAACAATCTCTATTTCCATCCATAAAACCCCAATCCCAAGGCTCCCTAATAAAATGCTCTCTCAAGACTTGATTTCCAACTTCCAGAACACCAGCATTGAAAATTATTACTCGGTATCCCCCAACAGCTGAAATCAATACCTACATTCTCACTAAGATCTTTTTTCTACAAGCATAAATCATCTATCTTTCCATTGAGGGCTAATTCAAGGAAACGAGAAAAGAAATTTAAAGGTAAACTTGAGTGAAGAAGTAAAATGAAGGAGAGCCTCGGCATTAAAGTCTCCGGTATCTCCATTGGGTACATGGTTAAAATAGCTTCTTCAAAAGAAGCCTATCAAATCTTCTTATATACTTAAATGCCTTCTATCATGAACAAAAAACTAAGTATTTGCATGTTTTTTATCACCTAAGTTGATAACTCTAGCATTATATAAGTTCATCCTAGGTTTGTTTGGTGAGATTGGTATTCTCCTGATCATCAAAAATCTGTGCTTATATTAATATTTTTTTTCTTTCTAGAAAAGCATAGGATAATCTAGCATTGATTTTAGTAAACACATGATTTTTGATAAGCAGCAGCAGTGTGAAAGGGATGCCTTTTATTGGGCAAGTACTTAAAATATGATCCACTTATAAGGAAAACAAGGTGCTATCGTTTCACAAAAAATGGAGTATAATTGTTATTGCTAAAATGTGTGTCACTTCCCAATGATTTCAGAGGTTCAATTGTAATAAAATGCCATCGTTGAAGTTCATCAAATACGAGTTTGATATGTCAAAAGCTTAACTAAAATGGCAAATAGAAGTTAAGCAGATTATAGATAATATGTCAAAAATTAAATAAAAATAAAAAAATAACTACCATGAAAACCTTCCAGCGTATGCAAGAGAATTCAAAACCAATTGACTATTAATAATTTCACCTCAAATTTGCTTACAACATAAAACATTGGACATACAAGGTGGTTTTATGAGCACAAAATACAGGAACTAGCAATAGCAAGAATTGCTTTTTAAAAATTAAATCAATACCATTAACTCGGTAAGTTTCAAAACCCACATAAACAAGGGAGGAAAGAATATCAGCACAATAATATGGACATTAAAAAAACAAGTTCAGAAGAAAATTATATTATTCTATTTAGAGAAGCAAATATTATGATAAACATAAACAATGAAAATAAAAAGTTTGTTAATGAAACTAACCAACTCAGCATCATCAATAAAAGAATCCTCAGTATCATATTGGTCATCATCAGGAACATCATGTTCTTCCTCATCACTGCTTTCCCTGCCCTGAATTAAAAAATTTGCCCCAGTTACTCTTACAAATTACTGACTAATAGAAAAAAAGGATTACTAACATGTGATTTCAGCCAAACCAGGCACTTAAGAAAACATTAGCGTTATATATTTTATTGTATAATTCAGGATATGTATGTATATATATACATAAGAAAAAATAAATTCTTCAAGGACTAAATTTCATACCATGTACAATCTTTCAATCTTCTCAATTACAGCACTAAAGCAATTTGGAGGCTGTAATGTATGCTTTAGATCATCTTCCCCTTGATAACCCTTAAAAAACAAACTGAGAGTTAGATATCAGCAAACGAACATTTAACACAAAGAGATGAACTTGCAACATGAAGACAAAAATTACAGAAATCAAATAGCGCAAGTACATGAACTTAAAAAAATTAATAGTAGTGGTATTTTTATGTGATATTAAGTACATGAGTTTTATATAAATAAAAATTATAATTTATTTGTTTGATATGTAAATGCGTAAAAAATTGTATTGTATATAAATAATTTTCTTTATATTAAATCTTCAAACATACAAACACTTAAAAAATTAATACTGGTTTTGTTATGCTATATTAAGTATATGAGTTTTATACAAATAAAAATTAAAATTTATTTGTTAGATATTAAATGCGTAAGAAATTACATTGTAAATACATGATTTATTCATATTAAATCTTAAAACTCAACTTAGCACGCATCATGGGGCAATGCTCCTTCATCCATGCATGGGCCAAAAAAACAGCACAATTTTGGTGTGTTGCACCACGCCACACCATGCCGATTGCGGGTGTGATATGCTGCATTATGCACCATGGAACGCACAATTTTGCACTATTGACATGTGATTGTACCTGCAATTCCAAATAATGCATCCCTTTCTAGTAGTACACCTCTCTTTTCCATGTACGGATATGTTAATGAGCAGATTTACCACAACTCTTTAACATGTTTTGCATATCATGAACTTCTTTGTCATTTAATTTTTTTGCTGGCATTTCACACATTTCAATGCTTTGTTTCTCTTATAAACTAGTTCTTTAATCTTCTCAGAAAACCATTTCCACTGCAGAAAGAAATCACTTTTTGATTGGAATGTAAAACATTGTCACATAAAAAATGTGCAAGGAGAATCCCCAAGGAATAAGAACTAGAGCTTTCCCAAAAGCTAAACAGGTCTAAGAATAAACCGATTTAACCCTGTCTTAAAGCACGGCAACATGTAAATTCTACAACAGAGATCAACACAAGTCATCTTCCATATTCCACAGAAAATGACACAAATGGACCGCACACAACCAAATCGCATTACAGAAAGAAAACGCAACCCAAGCAACAGCAAACGGCCAATGGATCGAATATCAATGGCATAACATAGCACAAAAAGCTTACCCCGCCAACTGGACGGGCATCAGGCACCTGATTATTGGCAATCTGAGCAGAAGCTTCCCCGTTCCCAGAAGCAGACTCCCTAAAAAGCTTCTTCCAGGAGACGATGGTAGTTTCGCCCCTTCTCAGCTCCACAGTGAACATTTGTCGTTTTCCCAGGACCGGCGCTTCCTTCACGTGCTTCTTGTCGGGAACCGGGGCTGGAGCCCTGGATGTGCTCTCGATGCCGCCCTTGTCCTCCTCCATATCTTGCTATTTGGCCGAAGCAAGAAAAAAGACTCGGCCTACTTAGGGCACGCGAGATGCGGAAGCCCTTCTATGAACAGCAGGACGCTGCTCACCTCAAAAACTGGAAAGGGAGAGAATAGTCGGCGTAATCGATGAGAAATCGGAGGCGTCGCCGTCGCCGGCGACTATGACGAACCTGCTTCCCACTCCTGGGAAGTTGGAAGCAGGATCCCGTAGCTCGCTCTCCGACGAACACAGTTAAGGTGCAATGGGCTGCGCTTGTAACATAACCGGGCCGGCCTGAGTACAAGTTTATTTTGTCCTCGAAAATGATGCTATAATGTCCGTTTTAGCCGTTGTTGGCGGTCTTTATTGGATGGGAATTTATTTAATTTTGAAGCTGCAGAAATTCGATGGATTCTTGAATTGATTAATGAAATCTAATTTATTTAATTTTGCAAGATGCAGAAATTTGTTTCATGAAATCTAATTTTACCTTCTATTTGAATTGAACCCGAGATTTATTAAATGCAGGAGTTTAATGAATTTTTTGAATTTATGTATTTTAAAATTAATTAAATCCGGCGAGCATTAAGTTCTTCTTGAAGTCAAACAGTTCGTTAAAGCACAATGACATATCATTATTTTATAAAAAAAAAATTCTCTTTTATTCTTTTTTTCATTGAAAGATTAAGATTGTTTCAGTCTCTTGTACATTAAAAAGGTGTTGACACTGTTCTCATAGAGATATAACGGTCCATAATAAAAGAATACAATTGAGGCAAATCCGCCATAAAGAGATCATGAGGCCCAACTCAAGCCATTTGAACTAAGTCAACTTGGTCAAACCCGACCGAGCCAAAAGGTGGACAAGAAGACAAACACACAATTCAATTGTAAATCATTTGACTAGAAACCAAACAAGAGACTGTTCGAGCCCTCCACTACTGACAAGTCGACTTAAAACAATAGTCTATCCCGTAGTGGAGCTAACCCATTAGAAGAGCCAATTCCACAAAGTATCTCCAACCACCCAACAAGAGCTCAAATACTCCTCACCAAAGATTTTTTTTTTTAAAAAAAAAGGTCAACCAAGCAGGATCAGCCGACCAAGCTGACACGGTCGAGCCAAATCAACAAATCTTAGCCGATCTAGCCAAAAGACAACTGGATGTTATGCCAACGATTGTAAAATACCAAAAACACTCCAGTTTAGACTATCTCCAAATTGGGTTAAAAATGAGATATCACTACTTTACTAAATCCTTTATAAATGAGAGAAACATTTAATGGAAAATCAACACTATTCACTAAAGTTCAACTCCCCCCTCTTTCTCCTCATTTATAATTTATTCATTGGGTGTGATTTACCAATAATCTCGGATTCAAAACCCTAAAAAATACTGCGAGTGTGGATCATGCTATCAACAAGAAGATGTGCAATGACAGAAGAAAGATCTCACAACAAGGAGATGGATGATAATTGAGTGCACAAAGTGTTTGTGGTTCAACAGATCTAATATTTTAATGGTCAATGTTAGAAAATGATCAAAGGAGTATTGAATCGGGAGCAAAATTAGTAAGTTCGGCATGACATTCCAGTGCCAAACAATAGAAGAGCCTCCTTTAGTCTTGGAGAGGGAGGACAAAATCCAATATCTTGACAGTGTTGAGTCAGCACCATTCGATCAACATCAGACCGGGTGTATTGATGTACCCCTTCAACCAAAAAATGCATTCTCTGAGGAGATCCTAGACGTCAAGCCATAAGAAGAATTTAAGATCCCAACTCTAAATCCAATTAAAGAAGGATGAACCCGACCAACCTTGCCACCTTTTTTCAGTCAATTGTACATCTTCTCAAGATTAATGATAAGTTGAAGTGTTGAATTTTTTCACTGCGGCGAGGAACTTGGCCCTCGGGTGATTCAATGGATTACTATTAGGATTAATCACTTTGTTCATAGATTTCAACTAAATGTTTGTTACATGATTTGTTAGTGCCCAAAAACCCTAGATGAGCTTGCAAACTCTTCTATAACCTCCTCAAGGATAGAGTGAGACCATGTATGCCTTCGTCACCCCATTATAGAAGGAAATGTTAGAGGTTCAAGAATTAAAACTCATGGTCGCTCATTTGACTCTCATACAAGGATTAAAGGAAGGACTTTTCATTACCCTCTAGGATAATAACAACCAAAGCCACTAGCTGAGATATTGGAGCTAGCCAAGTCCACATATCAGCAAAAGAATATAACTCCTCCCCCCTCCCCCCCCAACTCCCCCACCCTCATTTAGCATTTAGCAAACCAATCACAATCCACCAAAGAGAACCACTCACGTAGAAGGGTAGAAGGTGAGACACAGCCCCCAACCTCTTACCCAAGATTTTTTCAAAGATTCTTTATGACCCTCGCATAACTGGTGACTGATAAAGCCCATTGCCAAGAAATCCAAGCCTGATATCCTGATTAGCTATCAGCTTGATGTGAGAAGCAACCACTGACCAAAGGAAAATATGTTGAGATTTTCATACTTATTTTACATTGATTTTGATGATATTACACTTTAAAGAAAGATATTTTTGATGTTTTGTTGCAGGTATGTTGAATTATGGTCATTGGAGCAAAAAGATGAAAAAAGAAGCGAATTTGGAGCAAAAAGGACCAAAATATGAAGATTTGATCTTGGGCGGGCGCCGACAGCGAGCTCGACGCCGCCAACGACAAGTTTTTCCTGAGAGTTCATAATTAAATATTCTAGAAGGCCGCCGACGACGCCAAAGGCCGCCGATGGTGAGCACGTCGGTTCTCTCAACAGATGCATTGAATGTGGACGATTTTTGAAGGGACGCTTGGGCAACTCTTGAAAACTCTTCTACAACTTTAATTCGGTGACCGACGGCTTTTTATGGGCAACTGCTCCAACACAAAAATAGCACCGACAAAAACTCTTCTACAACTTTAAGAGTAAATTTTGGAGGCCAAAAAAAATAAAAGGGTGCATCCACGTGTGTCCATTAGAGTGCAAAGAGTGAATTTAGGGTTAATATTGTGAGGAATTCTTCAAGAGATTATAAGATTGGAAGGAAAGTGAGAGATTTCTTCCTCCTTGCTACTTCGAAGGAGAATTATGTGTGCTGTAAAGAAAGGAAGAGACTCAAAGGAACTTCGAGGAGTTTGCTTGGGGAGGAATTAAAGATAAGTGATATTTACTTATTGAAGTTTGTATGACTTTACTTTTATATATAAATTCCAAGTTTTGTCATATCTCTCCATGAGTTCTAAGTACTTTTCTCTATCTTTCTCCTTGTCTTGAGATTTTGTAAATGGTGATTTGAATTGGTGAAGCCATGAAAATGTTTAGAAAATTGTGATGATCTTTTCACTTAGATCTTAATTTACTTTCAATCTGGACAATTGATTTGTTAAAATATGCTGAGTTTTACAACTAAAGTGAAGGTTACATCCAAGATTCAGGGAGGTCAAAGCCCTTGGAAGTTAGGTGCAAATAAATTAGAAAATAAAACTATTGGGCGTAGAATTGGAGATTTTAGTGTTACAGGCTC